GTGTGTGTGTGTGTGTGTGTGTGTGTGTGTGTGTGTGTGTGTGTGTGTGTGTGTGTGTGTGGAGATGTGTGTGTGCTGTCCGGAGGAGGATGTGATCTGTGCCCAGCTTTGAGGGATGCACCCCGGATTCAATGCGACAGTTCACTGATCGAAAATTTCAAAATGGCGAGAGCGAGGGATGGACGTAGTCGTGATCCCGGTCTCGTGGACAACCTGACCTACGCGACCTACGCCGGGTACTCGCACAACCTGTGAGACTATCTCGACAGAAAGGAGCTCGCCGCACCACTCGCCAGAGATCGACATTTTGAAAGTATCTGGATCGCCACGGGGTCCAGATACTTTCAAAATGTTGGCTTTTGGCGAGTGGTGCGGCGAGAGCCAACGACAGTACACATCGGACAATCCGATCGGTGAGTATTAATTTAAAGGCCGATTTCAAAAAAAATAAAAAAATAAAAGGCGGACGCCATAGGGAGACGTTGCCAGCCAGTGGACGAAGCCATGTCGTCCGACAACCCTAAGCCAACAAAAGGCAGCGACAAACAAACAAACAAACAAACAAAAAAAAAACAAAAAAAACAAAAAAGAAGAAGAAGAAGAAGAAGAAGAAGAAGAAGAAGAAGGCAGCGACTTCCGAGACTATAAAAAAAGAGCTCATGGCGGTGAGTACATCGTCGAAGTAAAAAAAAAAAAAGGCGAAGGGGAGTACAGGACAGGTTAAGCCGGTCGCCTACCGAGAGAGACGGCGCGCGGCGGGGTAACGACTACCGTCTTCCCCCGAACATAACGCACGCTGAAAATGAACGTATACAAGGTATGTTTCCGGCCAGATACAGTCAGAATAACTTCCGGGACGAGCTTTCACCATTTTACAGCTTCCGGCATTTCTGCTGCTCAGTAGAAATAACTGATCCGTGGTCTCATCGGACCAATTCAAAATGAGGAGCAGCAATGCGGGAAGCTGTAAAGGTGAAAGCTCGTACCGGAAGTTATTTTGACTGTATCGGGCCGGAAACATACCTTGTATACGTTCATTTTCACAAATTTTCAGGGTACGCGCTTTCACCATTGTACAGCTTCCGGCATTGCTGCTCCTCAGTAAAGGTGAAATAACTGAGGCGTGGTCTAATCGGACCAATTCAAAAACAATCAAAGTAATATATAAAAAAGAAAGTCGACCAATCTCTCGTCTATAAATCGCATGAATGGCTAGTACCGTGTTCCACCGAACACAACGCACCCGGATAACGAAGGAATGAATACAAGCTAGCTTAACAGTCCCGATCCAGCCAAAATGAGGGCGCGTTGTGCTCGGGGGATGAAGGTCGGAACTACCGACAAGTGTGCAGAAATCGCCCTGGATACGGAGGAAGCATGTATGCGGATATACATAATATAAATATAAGATATATAGATATATATATTGATATATAGATATCGCCCTCTCTGCCTACGGTGTACAGGGCAGCTCTGTTTGACGATATATATAAAAGAATGAGAAAACCGAAAAAGGTTAAATGGCCCCTTTTTTTTCTGTTAAATGGCCTCTTTCACTGCCCTTTCAAAATAATTAAATAATATGTAGTGTATATATAGTATATAAATAATAAATGCCATCGTTCTTTCGCATGGTCTTGAGAGGAAGACGGTGGCCGTGGCAACAGCAAGTCAGCCCTCGGAGAGATGGCCTTGTTAAGCAACCAATTAACGACAAGACAAGACAGCTTAGAACAAGGTTCGATCTTTTTTTTTTTTTTTTTTTTTTCTTTTTGTAACAAGGTTCGATCTTTTGCTCTTCCCCAGAGGAGCAAAATAATCGCAGACGAAAGCGAAGCGCAACCGATCAGCTAGCCACTGGTTCACGAAGCACGAAACAGCGGAGAAAGCGAAGGAGGTCCGCGCGCGGGCACTTACATACACA